ATAATCTACCTCTGAGTGCTTCAGCCACAAAACTCTCAACATTGCTGTAGGTGATCTAGAGATACTGGCAGCAAGATAGTCACCTCAGTTCAGACCTCCACAAAATTGCCTTCTTTATAGAGAAGGGAGTGTTGCAACAACATGCCACATGGTATGGAATTGTATACAAACAGCTGGCCTTCCAGTAGTAGCCAACACCTTAGGCAGGTCAGCCTAGTGTACTCGAATGAATGTGATACAGTAAAGTGATGGTGCAAATCCTACTTTCACCAAATAAAACTTCAGTAATTTAGGCCACTGCTTATTACATTAATTTTTAAACAGAGGCTTTCTGGTTAAAGGCCAGGTAGATACGTACAACAACCATGGGCACTAAACTTATTTGTACCAAAATGCTTCACTTTTTAAAATCTGGCTCTAAAATTTACAGTATAAATAAACAAGGCATAGTGACATGTCAAACTGCAGCAACAATTTTCATAAAAGAGCTGGCAACACACCTTGCATTACTGGCTTGTACAAACACCGCTTTTTCAGATGGTTTAATGCACCATTCAGCAAGTCATTGCAGGCTGCTATGAATCTGTGTGTATTTCAGGCAGTGGCTCTTAGGAAGCCACATGGGTCTATGTGTAAATCACACAGCTGCAGATGTCCTGGGAGAAATAAACATAGGTCAGACCAAGATACTCCTCATATTAAAGGAAGGAAAGGAAATGTAAAGCTAAGAACTACACTTTGTTAAAGTAATGCTGTAGACTTAGCACATTTTCTTTAACTGAGTAGTTAAAATCCACAGACCAGCTTCAGTTAAAATAACTGATTGGAAATAGTGGTACCTCAGTTTGTTTATTTCATTTGTTCAACATGTACTCTCAGGACTGGGTAAAAATGCTTTATTCAAAACTAAATTTGAATTAAAACAAGACAAAGAACAAAGAGGAAGAAAGTTGCCTGCATATGTAAAAATACTAAAGACAGCAACACACCTGTCTGATCCACATTCCAATTACACTGGGCTAAGTTTGAATTTGAGAGCTGGATTTGGTTAAAGCACAAAGGTTTAAAAAACTCTTTCAAACTCATGCAAATCAGTCACCTCAAGGAACAAGTTTTACCTGTTCTCCAAAGCCTTCTGGCTTTCTCGATGGAGATCTGAACTTTGCCACCCTGAAAACAGAAGTGTGTTACTGAACTAAGGCAGAAATCTTAATGCTAAATTCAGGCATTTAAACATTTGAAAGCTGAAATGACATGCAAAGCTGGTCATGAAATTCTAGCAACCTTTGACTATCTGCTAGTTCACAGCTAAAAAGAAAAGTACAGATATGAGTTTCCCAGAATAAACAGTTCAGGTATTAAGAAAGCTAATGAGCCAGAATGCTCTTGAAAAAGATGTGTTTTCCAGAGAATTTCTATATCAAAAAATCTTCTAAACTGGCATTTATAAACTTCAGATGGATTTTTTTTGAAACAATCTTTTATGGAGAGATTTAAAATCACTGCTCTTCTGTTGCCTCTCTCCCAGTACTATTGCCTATATCTTCTGAGCACACCTAGACCTTGTCTTAGTTTAGCTTTAGTAAGCATTAAAATAAACTGGTTGTTCTGTGTACAGCCAAAATACAGTGCTTCAGATTCAAACTGGTAATCCCTGAAACTGCTGAATTCAGCTGCATTCATCCACTTTTAATTAAGATTGCTGCAAGTATAGGTATTCCTAAACTATCCAAAACTTGACCTGCTGAGGAAATCAAGTAATCAGGGTCAGAGACACTAATTAGAAATTATTTTGCTCATTAGGAAGGTAGGAGAGAGGATAAATGTGTCAGGAAGGTGCCTCAGAGAGAAAAAAGCAGTACCCTGGCTAAATTCAACAGACAGCGCTAGAGGGTGTTCACCCTTGGGAGAGGTGGGGGCAGCAAGAGCCGGAGCTGTGACCAAGTACTTCCTCTCCTCCTATGTTTAGGGAGACACCATCTTGAACATTTCTGAGAATGAGCAGGAGAGCACCAAAGGTTAATCTGGTGTCACAACATAATATACAGTGCCCTGACTGCTGTCCACCTCTGCAGGTCAGGGGGCTAATAAGTAAGAGGCTGCCAAAAGCCCAGGCACTTTCAGTTATTCATATAGCCTTCTCTCAAGTATATAAATGCACTGAAAAAAATGCAAATACATTTTTAGTCATCTTCATGCTGCATGCACGTACATGTATAAAAATACACACACAGACACACACGATGTCTCTTTGGAAGCCATAAAAACGGGTAAGCCATTCTTAGCACTGCTCCAGAGCCTTCTGGAATTACATCAATCCTACACACAGGCAGAGAGGATGTCATCACAGCAGACAAAACAAAAACCCCCAGAACACCCCCCCCAAAAAAAGTCCAACAACCCAGAACCCAGGAGCCATGTCCCAAAACTTCTAATCTATAAAATAGAAACTTTTGATAGGCATCAGGTTGTGTGTCCCTGGAATGAAATATAGATCTACAGCTTTTATGGAAGTAAAGTATTTCAAAGAGGGCATGAAGGAGAAAAGATATTTTAACTATAATACCTCTCTCAGGAGGAATCTCTCTCAATGTCAGTTCATGACATTGTGGACTTTGATGCTGCTTTGACAAGTATTTTCTTAAAGGTGAACTATAAGTTGTTTTAGTTTTATCTTTCTTTTCCACTTTTAGCTTATGTAGGAATTGCACTGAAATTACAACCTTTGCTCTCCCTCCAGTCATTCAGAGAGCAGAGAACAAAGACCACTTATTTTTTATTAAACTGCTACCACTTCTTTTTAAGGTTATCCAGGGCCACTAACTCATAACAAAGTATCTTGTTCAATGTAATTTTAATTTTGACCTGCAAGGAAGAGCAGAATTAAATAAGGTATACTTGAAAGAGCACTCTAAGTTGTATTTCTTAATTTCCTTAAAAAAAAAAACAGAAAACAACAAACAAAAACAAACAAACAAACAAACAACACTAAAGAAATGAAACCACAAACCCACAAACCAAACCCCACCAAAATAGTTATTTGCCATTCTCACAAACTAGTGGAAGATGCCCTGATATTTTCTCTTTATTCTTCCAATTTTGGAGTGGCCGACAATTTTCTAGATGTTGTTTGAAGATTGTATCTCAAGTTCTTGGCTTAAATTTTTCCTTTGCGAAAGGCAAGCTATCTCTTCATTCCACATTGCTTTGCAGTCTCGAAATAGTCACCCAACATGAAAACGCAGTCAGAGCTGTAACAAGCAGAACTGCCAAGATGACAGCAAGAAAACCCATCCTTTGCATTTTGTTTTAAACTGGATATTTAAAATCTATATTGAGACAAAGATAAAAAAGGTGATAGCAACTGTGCTGCCTGAAAAGCCTCATGGCCCACAGCCACAGTTTCTTTTTCTCCTTTAATGCATTAGGTTAGGAAGATAATTTCCCTGTTCAGCCAACTCAATCACTCAATTTTCACTTCATGCACAATTCTTATGGTCAGCCATCTCTATCTCTTCCAGTTTTCTGATTGTATTCAACTGCTGTCATTCCTTGAAGCGTAAGCTAATGGCAACTTACACAGTGGTATCAGAGAACCCCTTATTTCTTTGCTTTTGCTCTGTTTAACAAGGAATACTTCTTGGTTTTTTCTATGTTTATGTTGGGCCTTTGCTATAAAAAAACTGTATTTCTTCAAGTCTCCATTTGAGCTGTGAAACGTTCTCCAAAAGACCCCTTGTGTGTAATTGTACCTTCCACTATTTCAGTGCTTTCTAAGAACTGAAAGCACATGTTTTGAGTTTTTTCCTAATTATATAGGACTATAGTTTCTTGTCCCTATATTTCAGGAATTTATAGTCATAAAGCTTTACCTACAGGAAAAGTTCCCAGTTGTCAAAACTGAAATTTACTCATTTACACCTCAAAGGGCAGGTAATATGTAGAAAGGGAAGCTCTCCAATTTCTGGACTCAAAATGCCTTCAGCATTCTTAGAAGACTGGTGTAGGGCAGAAAGGTGATTAAGTAGTTCCAGTGAAACAAATGAAAAACCTTTAAGACATTTCTGTAATCTATTACATATATTCTGATTTAACACAACCTGGTATAAATGGAAATTACTATCTTTTTCTTTAAGCTCACAAAGAAAGGTAAAAGAATGCCAGCATAGCTAAGAAGGTCAAAAAGTAAAAGCAAGGTACACTGCTTCCATCACCATAAAAGAAAGTATTTGATTCAGAGTAGCAGTATTTTACAGAAGGGCTTTTGTAGATTAATTTCTTGCCAAACCTCTCTTTGGCACAGGACTGTAGGAAAGAATTTTCAGCTCCAGCCTCATTTTCTCATATTTGCAATTTGTGTATTCAATTTGAAGGCCAACAATTTGGTATCCACCAGTTCTCGAACACTGTAAAGAAACTAGGATTATAATGATGCTAACAAAAATGCCCACAGCAAACCCTACCTTTGTCATTTGTCCTCCCCGGTGCAGCATCAGTCTTCACAGAAGGATGTCAAAGAGTTGTTCAAATACAGGCCACCAAACCAGTAACAGTTTCTCCAAGTTTTATTCCTTCTGCGGTATTTGTCAAAGACCACTGCACAGCTTTGAATCCTATACGTAGACAGAAAACTTTACTGCACAGATAATAACTGTGTATCAAACCAGGTGGTATTAGTAAGACAGTAACTGATGATCTGTGTTGTGATGTTTGAACAATCAGAACTAATTAGTCAGCCATATAATTAAGGACGCTGAGGACAAAACTGATATGCCACACCACTTGCAGAGCAGTTATCACATTATTAAAATAAATGATCAAATTCTAGGTTTAGAATTTTTTCCACTTCAGAAGATGGATGAAGCTTGACACAGTTACAAATAATACATCTTCTTAAGAATGACTTTATAAGAGTAAACAAGTAAAACTAGCTTGTTTAATGCCATAGCCCATTTTGATGCAATTGCGATCAAATTGTCTTTTTGATATGTAAAGCTTACCAGTTGCTTTATTTGAGGAAAGAAATACAGAGATGTGAGGATCCACAGTGGAGTCATTGACAAATCTTAGACTTCTTTCTCAGGAAAATATCTATTCACCCAAAAAGCTCCTAAAATGAGACAAAAATAAACCTGATTTAATGCTATTGACAGTGTGTAACTGGGGCAAGGAGGAGAAAGGAAGCTTAAAAGTTAACAAGAACATCTAAACATATATTCAAAATAAACCCCAAAATCCTGTATTTAAAACAAGAAAGGAATTCTTAGCTAATATTAAGAGAGTCAAAATTAAAGACTGCTTCTTACTTGGGAGTATGTTTGACCAAGGGTCTCAGATCAGGGTGGACTTTTTTCTTACTCCTGCTTCCCTAAATCAGGAAAAGTACTGTGCTAGGAAAGTAACAATTACCCTTTATGGGTATGTTAAAGTGAACAGTATTGTATTCATAAAATAAATAGTGTTGACAAATGGGAGCCAAGTCTATTCACTCTGCAGTTCAGCTGGGAGATGGATTTCCTAGCAGAATTGGTTTAGACTATCTATCTCCACATAATTAAACAGGAGGCTGCTGGTGGTAAATGCAAATATTCCAGTGTATTCAAAGGAAGGTGAGACTAGGACAGGCAGCATCCACTAGATGATGGTGGTTAACAGTATTAAGCAATACTGTATATTCTAATCCCTGGACATACCCAGGGATCCCAGTTAGTTGCTATCCATACTGTTAAGACCATAGCTCAAATCTTATCCCTTGGTTATAAGCTGCTCTTATCCAGTTCCCTGCCCTTCCACACAGCCAAGTTCAGTAAATAGGATTGCATAACTTTGTATAATTTCCCTTTCTATTGCCATAGTAAAAGCAAAGAAAAATGGATCAGTGATTTGTATTTTAGGAGGAGATATCAAAAGGTATTGCAGGAGTTGATGTTTCATATACCTATAAAGTACTGATTTTTTAAAAGAGCATCTAAATTTTTATTTACTGTAATGTTAATGATATTATCCCAAATATTTCCAGTATTTTTCCTATACTCTTATTCCATTCTATTTCAAAGAGTTTGTTTTAAATGGGAAAATATGGAGGATAAACTTTAGGCTTTACTCCTGTCAGTGCTTTTGGACTCTGCTCAGTTTGAGCCAGCGAGAACCTTCCACACATGTTAGCACACACGTGTGCTATACACCATACTTCAATACAAAAGTTAAGTTTTAATCCTGCTACGTTTAGGCTTCTAAATGAGGCACATTAAAACAGAAAAATCTTTTCGATATATTACTGAGGTGAATAATGTTCTCATTTTCAAATCTAACTCTTACTCAACCCTTTTTGAATTTTGAATGCCTTTGTGAACGCCTCCTGACTTCAGGTTACTGCCTGTGTTCCTCTTGAATCACAAGTTTAAAGTAGTGTATTCCCCTAATCTTGCACTTTCTGTTCTGAGCAATATTTTATCATTGGGTTGCTTTAAAGTCAAATTTGTAACAGTTATGAAACAGAAAAGACACTGAAAAAGTATTGAAACAGAAGAATATTTTTTTGACTAAATAGTGCAACTCTAAGATTTCAAATAATGGTAGCACGATTTCTTTATGTGTTGCTTAAAAGTACTTTTATTTGAGACAGAAAAGCATTCAGATCATTGAAACCTAGAATGAATTATTTACAGTCCTAACATAGTCTACCACATACACTTATGAACTTTCATGTTATCTTATATCTGTGGTGAAACTAGGTCCAAATCACTATCCTAAGCCGATACTCTACCCATGAACTTCAGGTGATCAGCTTACTACATCAAAAACTGCCAGACCTTCCTTACAGTAGTGCACCTTTTTTATGAGCAGGATTTGAAAGGCAGAACCCTAAATCTGATTTAAAAGAATTAAAACAATATTAATGTAATCATGAAGTAACTGCTAATGAAAACTTATCCCAGAATGTTGACAAAGCATTTTTTCATTCTAATGGACACCTAGAGGATTTTTCTTTAAAATACTTGAAACTTTAGACAAAGTTAAGTTTTCACCATGAGAAGATTAGTTAAGGGCACATCAAGCCTTTATATGCTGTGAAAGATAAAAATAATTGCAACCAGAGAACAACTGCTGTTAGTCATTCGTATAAAAAAATGCTGGCCTGACATCTTTGAAAACTGAAACTATCAGCTTATCCATAAGAAACTCACAACAGGGGCAGGAGCAATGTACAAATTCGGATCTCTTTACAATCGTTATGACTAATTCTGATGAAGAAGGATTATCTTGTGCTTACATTTGTAGAACTCTCTGATGTGCAGATTTTCACCAAACAAAAAAAATCTTAAAATATAAATATTGCACTTACAGCTGTTCATGTTAAATATGTCTAACTATCAATTTATTTAGGAATGGGAACATAATATAGATACAACCACTTCCATGCATATAAGCAATGATACATAACTACTAACACCAGCTTCATTTGTTCTTTGAAGAACTCATTAAAACTTTACGTACCAGTTTCTTCATTTGCAATTGCATGTTTTTGTAGTTATTGGCATACAGAAAAGTCTATTACTCTTTCAAGTGCATGAGTTCTTAAAGAATTTGAGTGCTCATGAGACAGCCGTTTGTGAAAGGAGGGGTAGAAGAGAAGGAAAAAGAGGGTTACAATGGCGTTTCTCCCTAAGGAAGTCTGCAGTCTGCTTTTTTTCTATGTAAATTTAAGGGTTTTGCCTTGTCTTAGCAAATTTAATAAGATTTCACTAATGTTATAAGTTAAAATTTTAATTACATTTATTTTTTATGAGAAGGGAAGACAGCAAAGATAAGCACTTCAAAATATCAACATGCATCTTCCTCTCTCTGCCTAGACACAGGATCATAACCAACTACATTCTCATGAAAGGAAGGGTATGTTCCCAGTTACCCAGGAAGACTCCGGAAACAAACAGTTGTTCATGTGTCTTCTGTCAGTGTACAAGTCAAATCACTGCCAAGTCCTTCTTTTTCCTGTTACAGATTAATGGCCTCTGGGCAGCTGCCTGGGGAAGAACAAAGGAGATGCCCATGTCACTGTTTGAAGAATTTGGTAGCAATTCCACATCACTGCACTAGTATCCACTGATGACAAAAGAGGAAACCAAGAGCTACTGGCTCTGTTGCTGAAGCAGACCCAGTGCTGCAGCCAAGAAGCCAATATTGTCAAGATCCAAAATGAATGTACTAAACAGATGCATTAGCTTAGCTTTTGGAGTTGCTTTTGCACAATCTGCATAAAAACTGGCCTGAGAACAGTAGATCAGCTTTGAAAAGTCTCTTGTCATATCAACTGTAAGTACACTGAGATATAGAAAATCCTCTTCTAAAGGTTGCTGTGACCCTTTGGTATTGAAGTTTCATTGCATACAAATGGAAACTTTTCTCAACTTCCTCCACCAGCCATCATACTCCATCCCTTCCTGTAATGAAATTTTCTATTTTCATCTCTTCTCAGTTCAGTGGCAGTTGACATCATAAAAGACAGATGTAGAAACCTTCTGTAGAACACACTAACTTTCACGCTGATAGAGGAGACCTTTTAAAGGTTTGGTTGCAGCCTGTAGACTCTACCAGTAAAGATTTGTGCCATCATCTTTACAGATAGATACTGAATTTCAAGCATCCAAACATCTAAACTAAAAAAAAAACCATAAAAATAAATAGTTTTGCTGGTGAAGGGGACACCAGGGGACCTTCTCTAACTCCTGTTGTACACATTCTACAGAAACGAAATCACAGGGACCTGAACTTTTTAAAAATTATTGCAGCATTGTCGAAGGCAAACTGGAAGTTCTTTAAAGCACAAGATTGCCCTTCTGACACACCAAGTAGATTCAAGAAAATCATGTCTCAGACCTCAGTTAATGCATTTTACATTACTTTCACCACCTTAGTGTTATGCACTCTGGTCACTGAAGTACTTCAGATTTCTGTTCTACTTCATTTTGTATCATCTCCTCAGCTGTGTAGGCTTTTGTGGCACATAACTTAAACACATATCTTGAGTTGGTCAGTAGGCCTTTATGTTGAAAACAGCAAGGAAGTGGCAGGATTTATTATATTTATGTTACTGCTATACAAACAAGTTTCCACATCATTGGCTATTGAATTGAATTTCAATGCTGATCCAAGCAGCATCACTCCATCAAAGTTAATATGATAGCTTATGAAAGTAGGAAGTTATTCAGAGTTTTGTAGGTCTCAGAATGAAACTGGTGAGAAAATCATACAGCATCCCAACTTGCAAAGCAGCCAGTGTATTTAGGTTTCACTTTTGCATAGAAAAGGAGCAAATGCCAATTGTGAAGTTCAAAGGATTGGCAATGTAGATAGGATAGTTTAAGAGCTCATCATTGTTGCTTTTCAATTATGTATGTGAAGAAGGAAAGAAAAGATTTCCTTATTAAAAAAATGAGGATAGCATAACACACATTCAATTGAAGAAGAGCATATTTAGAGATTAGATCAGAGACACTGATTTACGCCTTGTTTATGATAGCATTTAAAAAAAAATCCATTAATGCCCCCATACCAATTTAAATTTTCTATAATAACCAGGGCTATAGTCATCTGGCATTAAGCATTTCAGCATCAATACTAGTACTCTACATTTCCAGTGTTTTATTTAACTGAAAATCACAAGCATCTCCAATCAAATATTTTTTTCAGGGGGAAAACAAAAGTTCTATAATACAGCAGCCAGATAGGTTTTATAGTAATGCCTTTTCTTGTCTCTTAATTTGGTACAAGAATTTAATAGTTTCCCACCATACTTCCCTAATAACAAAAATCTCTTCACTATAATTACACGTTTATTGTGTCCTTAGACAATGACTCAACCTCGGCAAAATTTGACATCATATAAACATTTTCAGACTTATCATTTCAAACAAAACCCAAGGAGACAGTAAATCAACTGTTTATGAAATCTAGGATGTGTCAGAGACACACATGATATTAAATGAGACTGTTTAGCATCATTTATGTTGGTATTGCTTAGGAATATCATGTGAAGCACAAAGGTGAGCTCAATTCCTCTGCTGCAAGTTCCCTGTGATTGGGGTGGGAAAGAAATGGAAGTAGCAGCATCT